TGCAGGAATACAGCATAGAGGTCTGTTCCGTCTGTGTGGGTCAGTGGTGCGAACCAGGCAGCTGAGGCAGCGGTGGGACAGTGGTGAGAGGGTTGACCTGGACCATGAGGCAGATGTCCCTACTGTAGCATCTCTACTAAAACTCTTCCTTCGGGAGCTCCCTGTTCCTCTCATTCCTGAGCCTCAGCGCAAACAGCTGGTTCTGTTCATAACAGGTAATGCCAATTAGGTGGTATCACATTTTATTAACTCTAAGGTAAAATATGGTTGCATTGAAATTGGTAGTATTATTGTTAGTCCTGATGCAAGCAAGGCTGAGCTCAGTCAATATGTTAATGCGCATCTTGATCCCATTTTAACACATCAAGCTTTCTTTAAAAAGCTGGAAAGGAAATTTGGCGTGGCTGAGAAGCTACCTGCTGCTATCAAGCCTCACTGAAATATCCTTTTAAAATATTCTACAAAAAAAGTTTAAATTTCACACAAAATTGGAGTATGACATACAAGGAAAGCATGTTCTATTAGTTTTTTTTTTCTTTAGATTTTGTACCGTGACCTACATTATACTGAAGCATGATAACAAATCCAAATATACAGCAGAGTAACTAGCGATGGAACTAATGTACCTGTACCAGATCAGTGGCCTGATCTTAAAAGTCAGCCTGGGAACATGTGAAAAAACATGAGCAGCTATGATGCTTTTAAATCCAGAGAAAACAGTGCAAAAACCTCACCATTAAGTACCAAAAATGTATATGCAAATGCACTTTGGAAACTTTATCTATAAACTGCTAGGTAAAACTATCTTAATCTATCTTATATTTATGTAGATTCATTCTGCTTTGTATCAGCACTTCAAGCTGTTGGTGGCTATTGTACTCTGAGTAAGAAATTAATTATTTACTCGGTAAAATGACACCCCTGTTAACAGTGCCTATGCCAAAGAACTAGAGACTCAAGTGATGTTAAAAAACTATTCAGTATGAATTCTCATGCAAATTTATATATGTTTATAAGATATAAACTCTTTAAGTCTGAAATGTACCGGTACATGTTATTGTATTTTGTGTTTTTCTTCTTTTTAGGATACACAGATGAGGAGGAGATGAACCAAAGTCTGAGAGAAAAACTATCCCAAATCCCTGATGACAACTTCAATATTTTGTCTTACCTCATCTGCTTTCTATCCAGAGTGGCCACTCACAGCCAGTCAAACCACATGCCTGTGGAAAATCTGGCAACCATCTTTGGACCTTGTATATTTCAGTAAGTTGCAGTTATTAATGCCACATTCAAATCCTCACCAAAGCTACAGCGTGACATAAACACTTAAGCAGAGAGTTTAGTGACTCAAAATTGTATGTTCTGCCATGCCTAAAAGTTTTGGTTTTAACATTTCGTTTTGAAGAGGTTTGTGGTTCTAGTTTCTCTTCATTTTCACAAAACACTGGCTTTTTGTCATGATGGCAACCTACAACATGTCAGCAGCAGTTCAGATGCCTCAGTGGCTTTATGTGTCTTTTGCATGGAGCTGGGTTGGTCCCTTTAAGGAAATGGGTGTGAACTGGGGTTAATAATGCAGAATATGTCACATAAAGATACAGACAGGGGTCATCAGGATTTTGCCGGTTGTTTCTCCCTTCCTGTTTACAGAAGTCAGCCATCACTGTAAACAAGCACAAACTCTAGGGAGCAAAAGTGTAAAGTTAGACTTTTCTTGCTTGAGTTTTCATCGCAATTATAATTGGTCAGCATCTTTTAAACAGTTCCTCCATCCTTTAAACTCTCAGTTTTGCCTTTTTTCTGCTGTAACAGTTAACGTCATGTCAGTGGAATGTGGTGTTAGTCATAAAGTTCTGTATTTGTGGGGAAAATATCTGGTGATTATAGGCTGAGTACAAAGAGTTGGTTAGGGTGTGTGGAGTTGGCAGCAGTGGTTTGGAAAAAAAATATGGAGGCGGGTTTGAAATGGTTGGTAGTCTTGGAGAGCTGCAAAATATTCGGTGCTGTTTTGCTTCTGACCTGAGATCTGAGAGGAGTGGATTGAATGAAAAACATTAGGGGATGAAAGACTGCAAAAAGATGTTCAAAAGTGATTACTTTGTTAAAAAAAAGTAGCTTCTGGTTTTTGATTGTTTCTTGGTTTTGACTGACATGCATTATTATGAGCGCCTGCCACTTTAACTTTTATATATGTCATTTAAACCTGTTCCTTTCCTTGGAGGTGTCAGTTATGTAATGTGTCTGACATACTTCTTCCATGCTGACCTATCAGCCATCGACTCAAGTCAAAGTTTATTTATATAGCACATTTAAAAGACTAGTGTACATCAAAGTGCTTCACAATAAAACCGCAGTGTGGGCAGAACAAAGAACAAATAGTACAATTATACTTAAAATTGCATTTGCCGAATGAAAGCCAAACTAATTTGTTTTAAAAGCTAAGTTAAACAAGTGTGTTTTTAAACGGGATTTGAACTATTGAATTGATTCCGAAGTATGGGTTTCGACTGGGAGATTATTCCAGAGCCTAGGGGCAGCGATGGCAAATGCACGGTCACCTCTGGTTTTTAAATGAGACCTTGGTTGCATTAGGAGCAGTTGGCTGGATCTTAGTGCTCTCTTTGGGTGTAGCTTGCCATCACCAGTGTGTGAATGTCTGTGTGAATGGGTGGATGACTGAATGTGTAAAGCGCTTTGGGGTCCTTAGGGACTAGTAAAGCGCTATACCAATACAGGCTATTTACCATTTGTACAGCTCAAGGAGATCAGTTAAGTAGCTAGGGGCCAGGTTATTTAGAATTTTAAAAGTGAGCAGAAGGATTTTGAAATCAATTCGATATTTGACGGGAAGCCAGTGTAGGTTAGCAAGGACAGGGGTGATGTGCTCATGCTTTCTAGTGCCGGTTAAGAGGCGTGCTGCCGCATTTTGGACTAATTGCAGGTACTGAAGGAGGGAGAGTTGGAGGCCCAGGTAAAGAGAGTTGCAATAGTCCAATCTACAAGTGATGAAGGCATGGATATGTTTTTTGAGTTCTTTATGTGGTAAATAGGGCTTAGCTTTGGAAATTTGGCGTAATTGATAAAAGCTGGTTTTTAGCACAGTAGATGCTTGTTTAATTTAAAAGAAATATCCATAAGCACTCCGAGGTTTCTGGCAGAATGAGAAAGTGTATATCCAGCGTTTGATGGTTCAATGGTCGAAGATTCAAAAGAGTTTGACGATCATAGGAAATTAGTGCAAAAACATCCGGGAAGCATACATAAAGTAAAATGGCAAGCAGTAGGCAGAGCTTGGGGAGACGAAGCAATGTATGTATTGCATTGTGATCTTGTTCCCATATAGGCCATGTGGACTTACGTCTATTATTACATAGCCAAATTTTCACACTCACTTCATACGGGATGAACTTTTTGCTGTTGTTTACACTGAAGAAAAACTGAAATGTAGCTGTCAACAATAACACTGAAATGCAATTGCAGCATAATGTAAACATGTCAAGACATTCTATTTTATTCTCAAGTGGGGTTTCCACACTGTACAGGATTATCTGAAATGTAATTTAAGCAGATGTTTCCAAAGCCAAAGTGAAATTTCATAGTTGTTTACTGATGTTGTTTTTGTCACTGGGCAATGTCAATGCTGGGTGCATAGAGCCCCCTTATGCACTCAATTTATCTCAGTTTACTGATGTATAAGCCTCTGTCCACTAGATGGGGCCCATTTCCAATATGTTTACGACATGTAATGGAAGACATTTACAATTCACAGTGCATCATACAGTATGCATGTATTGCGTTGTGATCTTGTTCCCTTTTCTCTTTTTTGTTTTCCAGTGTTGCAGAAGGACCCAGGATGCTGGAGGAGCAAAGTGTATGCAATGCCCTGTTGCTCCATCTCCTCAGGCATGCAAAGGCTCTCCTTCCAGCCCCAGCCGTGGGCTCCTCAATTGCCTCAACCTCACCTCCTCCTCCTGTCCTCTCTGCTCTTTCACACTTTGAGGTGAATCCAGTTTTTTTTTTAAACTAGATGTATGCATCTATTTTGAATTAATGTTACAGCTCTTTCCATCAAATATAGCAGTTTTACATGGTAGTGTTAGTTATTACCAGCCTTTTAGCTCATGATATTCAGTGTGTGTCACGTTATGAATAGTCTGTCTGTTTCTTCAGAAGACGTTCTTTAATTTTACAGATATTTTTAATACATTTTGTGGGCCATAGGCAGTAACATTATTCATCCGTTTTTATCATATATTATTTATTGTATGTTATGCATTAAACTGAAAGTAGGATTTATTGCCGCTCTATTACAGTAAAACCTTTGTTGTGACGTTTCAGCTGACTTGGAAGCAGTTAAAACTTGTGTAGTAAATGCAGAAGATTCCTTCAATGGTTTGTAGTCTGTCTCTAGTGGTGTGTTTGTGTGTTTACTGTTGATGTCCTTGCTAGGTCCGACCCAGCAGCTGTTACTCAGACCACAGCAGCGTCCCCAGGTTTGGGGTGGAGAATGCCGTGTCATCAACCAGTCCTGCTAACCAGACAGTACGGCTGCAGACTCACCTCAAAAGGTACTGTCCCCTAGCACTAGTGTATTTGAAATTTTATAGATAGACAGATAGATAGATAGATAGATAGACAGATAGATAGATAGATAGATAGATAGATAGATAGATAGATAGATAGATAGATAGATAGATAGATTTCCCTTTAGGTCTTTTTAAGGCAAGAAACCTGTGAGCTTCAGAGCAGCACCTTCTTACAGTAACTTTGTCAACCAATATTTGTGTTCTGTTACTTGTCCAGCTTGACCCATTTGACCTTTCAGTCTAATGGACAGTAAAAATAGTACCAAATTTATTTTCTCCCAGAGAGACTCTACATATTTCTTTTTCAGTTGTGAATGTTTGTTGCTGCAAGCTTGTAAATGGAAGTTCTGTTTGAAGCACATTTTGTTCTTGCCATTTTAGGCATAAATGCTAGTAGCTGTTTACCCTGTGATGAAGCAACGATGTTATCAGATGACATCAGGCTCATGACGACTAAAGGAAAAATTCAATATTACATCAAGATCACAGCCATATATCAAAGTGATCAGATTGTTCTTACATTACCAACTTGTGTCAATTTAAAAAGCAGGCATCAGTAGCTGGGCAGCTACAGTACGAGGCATGAAATATACATTTTTTGTACATGTCATTTTCAGGTTGGATGTAGAGGAGTTGGTAGCAAAGACCTCAGTCCATTTCCACAACTCATGTTGATGCACAAAAGTCATGCCTGTCTAGCTGCCGATATGTTTTATTAAGATTTGTTTTATTTACCTTAAGACAGAATAAGCTGAACTTGTCTGAGATATTGGTCCATGCTTTCATTTCAAGCAGATTAGACTCTACTCTGTTTGCTAAATTATTCAAATTATCACTAGGGCACCTTTAGCTTGTTCAGAATGCAGAAGCCTCACTTTATTGACTCAAAGTTCAACACAGAATTACCTTAAAAATCGTTCTGTTAGTTCATAAAGGTCTCAGTGGTTTAGCCCCACCACTAAATTGCTGATTTGCTGGGTGCCTATAACCCAGTTAGACCTCTCAAATCACCAGGTATAGATCTTTTAACTGTTTCCAGAATTAGATCTAAGGGTTCTGAGGGTTTTAGTTACTGTGGCCAAGGTCTTCAAAACAAGCTGCCTGTTGACCTGAGGTCGGTAACAAATATGCCTGCTTTCAAAATCAGACTGAAAACCTTTTTATTCTCACAGGTTACAGCTAATAACTGTGTTGTTTTTATTGCCTTAAGACATTGTAGGGATACATAGTTTTGTTTATGTTTTTATCTTTTATGATAAGCACATGCAGTGAAATGTGCTACATAAATAAAATTGACACCGACATTGTATATATAATGTAGATTCAATGTGGAGTTCTTATCTAAGAATCAACCACCCTGTGTTTATTTGTTATCTCATAATTTTATATAATCATCTACTGATTCAGAGCTGCAAGATCTGTCACCAACAAGCTTCGAGAAGATTGTCAAAGCTTCCAAGACAGTTTTATGTGTTCTCACTGCATCTGAGTGTTTGTTTAGCTCTAATAGGGCAAACAAATATCAATAATTTTTCATCAACAGCTTCCCACTCTCATCTGTTCTTCAGGCAGAAATGTTGAATCATTCCAACTGTCTTTCTAGTTTAAATATATTGAAATCAAAGGTACACAGCATTATCTTTTTATTAGTTTCATTTCTGTAGGTAAATAGGAGTCGGGTTAAATATCTACAATACGGTAACAAGAAGTGAAACTGTGTTTAGCTCATTTATTTGTTTCCTAACTTAAGAGTAGCAGCACATTGTCTCCTCCATTTCTCCTCGTTTCAGAAATGCCTAATTTTTGTTTTGCATGCATAAACAAGAAGGGATCATATTTATTTTTTGCATCTGCACATGCCAGACTGGTATCTGTCGCTGGGAGAGAGGCCTGGCATTTGCCTGCTGTGCTGTCTTGCCATGTCTTGACCTCGGTGCAGTCCCGCTCTAATTATATCTCCAAAGGGTTTCATTTCAAAACAGGTGTCCATTCTGACTTTTTCCAATTATATAAGATGATATTATAAATATACTGAATGATTCTAAGAAAAAGTATCGTGTCTTTAAGTCAGCGCATTGCAGTCATATTTTTCAGTCTTTCATCCATTTTCTTCCGCTTATCCGAGGCCCAGTTGCAGGGGAAGCGGCCTAAGGAGAGAAGCCCAGAGCTCACTGTCCTTGGCCAACTCCAGCTTGTCTGGGGGAGCACAAAGGGGCTCTCTCCAGTGTGTTCTGGGTCTGCCCCTGGGCCTCCTTCCCGTGGGACATGCCGAGAACAACTCATCCAGTAGGCACCCAGGAGATGTCAGATGCCTGAACCTCCTCAACTGTCTCCTTTCGATGTGGAGGTGTAGTGGCTCTACTCCAAACCACTCCTGGATGGCCGAACTCCTCACCCTATCTCTAAGGGAGAGGCCAGCCACCTTTCTGAGAAAGCTAATTTCCACCACTTGTATCCACGATCTTGTTCTTTCGGTCACTACTCTAGCTCGTGACCATAGGTGAGGGTAGGGATGTAGACTGACTGGTAAATTGAGCACTTTGCTTTTACGCTTAGCTCTCTCTTCACCACGATGGACCAGTACAGAATTCGGATCACTTCAGCCGCAGCACCAATTCATCTCTCGATCTCTTGCTCCCCTCTCCCCTTTATTTGTGAACAAGGGCCCGAGATACTTAAACTCTTCCACTTGGGGTAGTAACTCATCTCTGACCTGGAGGGGACACTCCATCCTTTTCCAGCTAAAGAACATGGCCTAGTTGGAGCACACCCTCTGGTCCCCCTTCTTAAAGATGGGAACCATCTTAATGTATCGACATCCCTGTGTTTGAACATGGTGTGGATAAACTGTGGTTTGTACAGAAGTTCAATAACAGAATACCGCTTGGGTTTAGATCTGGTAGGCCGTTCCTCCCAATAATGACCCCTCCAGGTTTCAATGTCATTGCCCACATGACTATTTAAGTTTTCTGGTAAGGCGATGGAGTCCCTAGGTGGGGCACGCTCAAACGTCCCACCCAGGGACTCCAAGAAGGCCAGGTATTCTAAACTGTCATTCAGCACATAAGATAGCATCCCCCAAACAGACCATCTCAAAGGCTGCCAGAGGCCCGACCTGACGGCGCAGGGGAAAAACCCTCTCATCTACTGGGAAAAACTCCAACGTACAGGCAGCAAACTGAGGGGAAAATAAAATTCCCACCTGAACAGGTCCTTGCAGGGCACCCATGACATAGATAAGGAACTCATAAAATTCTCATAAAACTCTCATTTTCAGGTTCAAGTTTCAAGTTTTTTTTGTGTAATAGGATTTTTATTGGCCAATGAATTATCTTCCTTATTGAGTCATGTTTTTTTTTTTGTTTGTTTGTTAAATATTTATTGTGTAATTGATGTGTTTAGGCATGATTTTAAGTACCCCCCATTTGCGACCTTGTATCTATTTTTGTTAGTTTGTGTTGCCTTTCGGCTCTTAGCATCTCTGGCCTACTTCCACCCACTGCTGTGCCAGAACTGGCACTGCTGACCCTGAATATGACCAAGTGTTTCTGTCTGGGAGCTCAAATTTCTGTCTGTGCACAGCTGAATGCTGAGGTGTGTTTGTGTGTATGCATTCTTGTTTGTGTGTATGAGCCTGGGTACCCATGATGGGTCAGTTCTCTGGCTCTGGGTGCTACTTTTTTATCATTTAGCACCCATCATCTGTGCTCTCTTTTCTTTATGTCTTTGACTTTCTCCATCCACCCAAAGCAGCAAACTGTTTACTGTCATAGGTAAACTGCATAATGTTGTAAGTTAATCGGCTTTGGCAGAATGTGTTTTCTTGTCTCATCTGCTTCAGCATCAGGGACAACAACCATGGATCTACAGTCTTCTGCAAGTGAGTGAGTTCATGCAAGGTAGCTTTAGAGCCAGTGGACAGATGTATTTGCTTTGCAGCAGCGATCATTCATCCATAAAAAGGTTATGAGGCTGCTGGTATCACTCAAAGCAGAAGTCTAGTCACAGATAACCTGACGAATTTGTGTGTTTTAGGGTTTTGTTAACATTATTTGGTGATTTGGTGTTGTCTGCAGTTTTCTGATAGCTGTTGTTTCTGCTGTTCACTAGCTTCTGTTAATATAGTGGATGTTTAAAAAAGGGAAACTTGAAGCATAATTCATTTGGGTAAATCAGTTGTGCTTGTTTTTGCTGAGGGCAGCTCATCAGAGTTTTATGAGACATGTCGTGGCGTAACATTAGATCAGGCACTGCTGATTCAGACCCCCAGGATGTTTTCCTGCAGAGATGAGCAATTTTAACTCCTCTTAGCCCTGTGATCATGCACTTACAAGTTTGTTTTTTCGATTTTACTCCTGTGAATGCAAAATGATATCCATCCATCCATCTTCATCCGCTTTGTCCGGGGCCGAGTCGCGGGGGCAGCAGCCTAAGCAAAGAGGCCCAGACCTCCCTCTCCCCAGCCACCTCCTCCAGCTT